TTTTTTTTTTTTTTTTTTTTTTTTTTTTTTTGGTATCAGGGATCGAACTCGGGTCCTTGCGCTTGTGAAGCAGGATCCAGAACCACTGAGCTAAATCCCTGGCCCTACATTGAATTATTTCTTATAAATGCCTACAGTACAGGAAAAGAGAACTTAAATTCAACCAATCAGAAGTAGCCAAAAAAATCATAATAACTAGGAAATTTTTAGAAGGACAGATCAAGTAGGCCACAAATAATTTCTCCATAGTATTTTCACATGTAAGATACACATAAGCCCAGGGCTGGGGATTTAGCTCAGTGGTTCCACTGCCTGCCTCGCAAGCACAAGGACCAGAGTTTGATCCCAAGTACCAAAAAAATAGATACACACATGTAAGCCTGTTTCTTATACCCTCCTCAATGGAAACCCCAAGAGCTGCCAGATTCATATATCTTGGGTTGCCCAAACTAAATTTGTATTGTGCCTCAGTTTACCTCATTAACAGGCCTTCTACCCTGAGCTGTCATATAAGAAGAGAGGATGAATCATCATTGAAAATGGTGCAGTGTGTATAACAGGGTCCAGATACCTTGCTTCACCCAGCTATGGTGGACTGACGCACGAACTGTGAAGTGATCTTGTTTACTGACAGAGAAGCTGCTTCTGTGAGGTTTCTTCCAGAACGCACAGGGAACATCTCAGCTGAAATATAGCTCAGAGAAAATTTACAAGCACAAATTAAGGTCGAAATTTACCTCACCTTTATACCATATTTTGAAAAATTAGTGCTTAACTACAACATGATTTTTAAAGTATATTCTTGGTAATTAACAGGCACGACAGTAAATGAGGTCCAGGGGCAGAATATGGGCAACTAAGGAAGAGGTCTAAGGACAGGGCCTCTGGCAACACAGATGTTTATCTCTGGAAAAGAAAGGAGATCTAGAACGGAGACCAGGAGGAACCTCCATCAAATAGGATGAAAATTGTAAATTGTGTGTGTGTGTGTGTGTGTGTGTGTGTGTGTGTGTTTTCCTGGAGCCCAAGGAAGATGGGATTTGAAAGAAGGGAGAGTGATCAACTGCATCAAGTGACACAGATTAGTCAAGTAAAATGACTGAAAATCTTCAGGGAATCATAGGGGCAAAAGGTGATTGGAGTGAGTTCAAGTGCTGATAGGGAAAGATCATTAACAGTCTCTTGAATGTGACAGACTCCAGACACAGAATAGATTTCTGAGCTGCCCTGCTCAATTAGAAGGCAGAGTCCATTAATAAAGTTCTGTCGACTGCCTGCTATATGATCATTGGTGTCACTTTATCTGAATAGTGGAAAGAACATGATTGTTAGAGTCCGAGAGCAGTGCCATCAACTAGCAGAAGAATCTTGGGTACGACAGTTAATCTTTGATGATTTCACATTTCTAAAGTGAGAGTAATAATAATATTAGTACCTTCTATTGTCAATATAGCAAACAGATTATGTATGGTAGCTATTATGGTTAACCCAGGTTTCTTGTCTCGGTTCTGATCTCTAAACATCAGCTCTGTCCTCATTTTCTCTGATGATAAATCCTTGTGTCTTATACTAGATCCCTTCAGGGAATTGTACTGGTCAGCTTTCTGTTGCTGGGACAAAATACTTAATGCCTACATGTGGCAGTCTTATCGTAGCTCACAGTTTCAGAGGTTTAGTCCATGATCAGCTGGCTCCAAGACAGAGACATTAAGGTGGAAGGGCACGGCAGAGGAAAGCTGCTCAAGTCACGATGGCTGGGAAGCAGAGTGGACTAGAAAGAATCCTAGAAGAAAGGGTCAGGGACAAGATATGGTCCTCAAGTTCATACCTGTTCCTCCAACCAGGCTCCACGTCCTAATAGGACACTCAGTTATGAACTCATTACTGGATTGGCCCCTTGATGAGGTTCATGCCCTCACCTTCCAATCACCTCTCCAAGAGTCTCTTAACCCAATCTAGTTTATAATATTAGCTGGCACTGTAATATATTATAGTTCTGTTATTATAATGAGAATGATAGTAGTAATAGGTACCATTATGGTGTCTTTTTAAAAAGTACCTAACCTTAACATTTGGATAAATTGAGGTACGTTAGCTTAATGAGCCACTGTTCTAATTTGGCCTTGACTTGCTACTTTTCACATTCTTGCCACTTGGGTGCAGTTACTCTGGAGTCAGATGGGCCGTGAGATCCCTGAGTGCAATTACTCTGCTAATCATTTGTCCCAGATTCTGCACAATCTACCTTGCAGGAAGCCAACTCATCAAACTCCATTTCCCAAAGTACATTGCCACCTTGCTTCCTGATAAATTTGTACAGTAGGGGGCAGTGGTGGGAGATTTCAGAGCAGGAATCCCTCTTTCCTCAGTGATTCCATTTCCTACTGGATATAGTTTCCTTCTTTTGTCTCAGCCTTGGCAGGCAGTCTCTGCTGAGTTTCCAGGACCAGGATTTTCACCCCATAATACACACTTGACTATTTTAAATTAACAATTATGGAGTGCCTTTTCTCTGATAACCCCATGTCTGCTTAAACTCAGAGACTCCTGACAAGGAAAATATCTAGTTCCTTCCCTTGGTTTCCATGAACTAACTTATATCTAAGGAAAAGAGATTGAAGTGTATCACACCTGAGCACACTTTTGTCACACACACTATTGCCACCCTCCTCCTCCTCCTCTTCTTTCTCCTTTTCTTTTTAGACTCGGTCTCACTACATAGTTCAGGCTGGCCTTGAACTCACTATGTCACCCAAATTGGCCTTGAACTCAAGGTGATTCTCCTGCCTCAGCCTCCTAAATGCTGGGATTATAGCATGCATTACCACCCCCAGCTCATTTTCTTCTATTTGAGGCTGCCCAAAATCCTTATAAGAATTCACTCTGTTCTCTCTAAGCCCAACAGATTTTGTCCCAAGCTATTGTATATTTCTCCAACCCCACTGAATTTTCCTAAAAATCATTTACTCTTCCTCTAAAAATCATCTACATTTCCCATTCTCTCTTTCTTTTAAAGAAAAAAAGATATGTATATTTCTGAATCATTTTGGCTACAGGGTGATTATACTTTGTGATTATCTCCAGGTGCATAATACATTTGCGCATCATTTCGCCTACTGAACCTGTCTATTGTCAGTTCATCTACTGCATCTCCAGAGGGCACAGGGAACCCTTTCCTTTCACCCATGTAAGTCATAATCATTTTTTCTTTATGACTCTGTATGTACCATGCCACATCATTTTTCCTCTCCATCTCATCTACATTTAGCGAAATCTCATATACCTATCTAGACCTGAGGCCTGTCCCTAAGACTGGTGAGTACAGAGCATTCGTTATGTTGCCATTTTCATCCATTTGATTTCACCCTTACATATCTGGTGAAGAGTGAATTGCTCTAAAACTTAGTGGCTGCTGTAGTTTGAGTGGGGAAGGTCCCCCAAAGGGCTGTGTGCTAAACGCTTTGTCCCCAGATTTGTGCTATTAGGAGATGGGTCTAGTGGGATGTCTTTGGTCAGTGGGGATATTCCCTTGAGGGGGATTGTGGGTCCTCAGCCCTTCTTTTCCTTGTCTCAACCTTTCCCTTCCTAGCATGAGAGGAACTGATTTTGCCTCTGCTACAGGCTCCCTGCCATGGGCCCAAAAGCAATGAGCCCCAAGCTCTGAACTGTGAGCTCAAATAAACTTTTCTTCTTTTTAAGCTAATTACCTTGGTTATTTTGTTACAGTAATGGGAAGCTACCAGAAGTTAATTTTTGAGCTCCATGTACTACAATAGTGGGAGAAATCATCTGAGACTTGACATTTTTGTGTTCAAAAATTATGTTCATTGTATTCCTCAGAAACTTCATTTTAATATTAATTCCTGTGTTTCAAGTAGCTTTAAATTATTTCTCCCAATAAACAACATTGTACTGCAAAAGCGAGTTCTACTTACTGATTTCAATACTTAACATACAGTGTAATACAAAGGCCAATCATAATACCCTTCTGTTTATTTATTTTATAATATTTGCTTCAAGCAGAATCCACTGGCTTGTTTTGTAATAGATCCTGACTCCCTCTTTTGTTCCTCCTTCTCCAGTGTGAACCTTGGACAGGTGAAGATGAACCATTTGGATTCCTTGTTTTGAAGGACTCAGCTAAGAAACCTAGATTGATCTATTCGGTCCTGGCACCAAGATCTGAGCTAAGTGCTAATATGCTTTGGTTCAGGGAGATTAATGTAGGTGAGATCTGTCTGGGGTGGGGAGAGAGGAACAATCCTTACTTGGAGGCCAATTACAATAACCAGGGAAAGAGGTAAATTGAAGAAGGACTTTGTAACTAAACACAACAAAGTGGTTGTGGAAACAGGAACAACTCATGACCTAGGAGACCGATGTGAGTGCCTCCCCGGCTGTGCTCAGAAAGAAGTGGCCCGGTTCAGCAAACAACTCAAAACCTGCATTTCAGACAAGGCTGCTCTTGTGATTTAATAAAAGATCTTTAAAAAATTACATTGTTTGGTAACAAAGAAATACAACAGCACTGCTGAAGAGTAGGAGATAAAGATGGAACAAAAATGCCCTTAGTTCCACTGTTACCATTTTGATGCCTACCCCACAGCTCTTCCCCAATGTTGAAAAAAATGTAGTATTAGGCTGTTTCTAAATAAAAAATGAATTTAAAGTAAGTTACATTTATAAGGCTTCTGAGAGTAAGGCTTCTAGAGATGTGCAGGGTAGAAAGTAAAATGTTCAACAGTTGCTGGGTGGATGGGCTGCAACTGGAAGACTAAATACAAACTAGAAATGTTTTCTGTTTTTTGAAAAATGAAGTGTTTTCTTTTTAAATGAAAGTGTAACAAGTTTCTTTGTTTTGCTCTACTGAGAAAACAAGAGAGCAGGTAGCAGAGTGCAGAAACGTTTTTCAGTAATTTCTGATCACAAATTCCTCTCGAATCCCGCTCTGTCGAAAATAACCGGCGAAGGGCAAGAGTCATCACTTGCGCGTGCGCAGTAAAACGCAGGCGCAACCGCCAAGCCTCTTGTCACTGGCTCCGCGCCCCGCCCCGCGTTTCGTGGAGGTTTGGGGAACTGTGTTCTCGAGACACCGGTCCGACTTTCTTCCTTCCGTCCTCCCCTGCTTTCTCCCCAGCGATGGCATCCGGGTTGGTGAGGTTGCTGCAGCTGGGGCCTCGCTGCCTCTTATCTCCGGCCACTCTCACGCTTGTTCCGCCGGTTCGGGGAGTGAAAAAGGGATTCCGAGCTGCTTACCGCTTCCAGAAGGAACTGGAGCGCTGGCGCCTGCTCCGCTGCCCGCCGCCGCCCGTGCGCCGGTAGGAG